ACCAATACTGTGTCTCCCTCCTGTACTTAGCTTTTCATGACCTTGGAATGGAACTTAGATCCCAGCCAGGGTAGATGATGTGTCAGTTAACCAGAAACAGTGGATGTCAACCTTAGCTATGCACTGTAACCACTTTGGGAGCTTTAAAAAATACTGGTGTTGTCTCCCACTCTGAGTGATTTTGATATAATCTTGGAATTTCAGATGCCCTTTAGGTGATTCTTAAGTACAACCAAGGTTGAGAATCATTTCCATGCATCAGCAATAAAGGAACCAATGTGCCTCTGGTTTCTCACAAATCTCCTTTCTATTCATGCTGGTTCTCCCCACCCCAGACCTCTGGCACTAAATTGGCACTTCTTCCTTTCCCAAGTCAGACTTATTCCGTATTTTGTCCTTTCAGGGCTATGTTTTCTGCAAATGTAGATGCTAATTAATCTTGCTAGGCTGGCAACCATATTTCTTGGAGTGGTACATGTTAGAGATAACGTTCAATTCAAATATAAATATGACTTACTGGAAAGTAATTCTGGCACCCAAGGTACTGTGTATATGAAATACAACCTAATAAGAAATGGGGTGGGGACTACAGAAAACAGGGGTGAAGTTGTGAAGGCTACTATGCTTCTCAAGACGCAAAGAACAAGGCTTTAGAGGTAAGCTGTAGTCAAGCCAATTTACTCCTGAGTTGTCTGAAAGATCTTAAACCAAGGAGAGAATTATTAGTTACTTTCCTAGAATCACTTTATTTTTTTCCTTTTATCAAAACAATTTAGAGCTAAGTATTTCAAGAAACTAATCTTAATTTTCAGTCAACCTTGGGCATAGTTTTTGGTTTTTTTCAGAGCCGTGTTCATTCTTTAATGCAGAGAGCACATAGATGTTACCATTAAATCTGGACCTATGGGATACAACAAAAAGGGATTCCCAGCAGAAAACCTTTTCCTTTAAGATACTTTAAAACCTTTGAGGATTAGAGACCTGAATTCTGACTTAAAACTTAAAACTTATTAAATATTATACAGAATATTTGAAAAATTGTCTTTCCTCAGTTCTCCCAATGTTCTTCCACAGTTAGACCTAAAACCCTAATGGTGATTGATGCACTAAGTTTGGGTCTCAAATGAAGTAAGTGTGGGAAGCAAAGTCATCTGGTATTGCTTTTGTAGGAATTAGATGATAGATTCATATCCTTCCCTCCCCAAAGTAATATTCATTGATGTTTTTGTAGTAAGGATTATTGCTCACATTATTTGAACCAAGAAAAACAATACTTCTAATTTTCAACTGATGGACAGAACAGAAAGTCTCCTTTCCTCCTGAGGTACAAAGAAGAGCTTTCTCTTGAGGGAATCATTGGAGGGTAAGGTGAACTTGTTGAAACTGTGGTTTTTCAGCCCTTATCCTTGAATGCCACCTAAGATATAATTTTGATGACAATTAAGGTTTAGAGTCATTTTTATGATCATTGTCTAAGGTACTAGTATTTTTCTTATGATCCAAGATAGAAGAAACACATTTAAACAGTGAAGAAAAGAGATATAAAGAATTACATGAATCAATAGTATTCATTTTCCAATAATAAGATGGTGGTGGAGGTGGTATGTATGTAAAGCCTAAGGTTAGTACAACAGAAATGTTCAGAGAAAAATCATATCCACATTATATTCTTGTTATTGCTATCTCTTTAAATTATAAAAATAATTTGATACAGTAAAACCTCATTAATTTTTATCATGGATTAGGAGTTTATGGGATAAACCTACCCTTACATTAAGAAAGGTGTTGTCAAAACACTGAAACTCAAGCTTCTTAGGAAACCTATCTTTTCAAGCATTTCAGAAGCACCTGTATACTTTCAACTGATGTGCTAACTATAAGGTTTTGATCTTTAATTTAAGTTGAATTTTTAAGGACTTCTATTGTGAGATGTTATACTTTTAATTTTGATATTCTCTCTTTATATTTTAAAAATATGTTTGCCATTAATTAATGTTTTCTCCAGTATATCATTTTATTGCATATGAAACACACATGTAGCTGGGGTATAATTTATTGTTTTAAGACACTGTACTTACAGTGTTCAATTTTATATAATCTATATTACATATTCACACATAGTCTTTAAATGACATAGAACAGTGCTCTCAAATTGGAGAATAGCAACATAGAAATTGCTCTCAAATTGGAGCAATTTTTGACAATGGCTAGAGACATTTTTAATTGTCATTACTGGGGGTTATAGTGGACAGACACTAGGGATGTTTTAAACATCTTACAGTGCAAAGAACAGGCTTCCCCAATAAAGAAATTTTTGTTAATGATGCCACTCTTTAGGCAACCTGATGTACAACAGTTATATAAAATCTTATTGAGGGCTTCTGAGATATTCTTTGTACTACATTTCTTTATTTCTCAAATAAAGTAACATTTGCTCCATTGGATTTCTTTTTAAAATACAAAAATAATAAAGTATCTCATGAGAAAAATCAGAAAACTGGGTGTGTAAAATTGATGGTACAAATAAATAGTGTATTGCAATTTGGCTAGCAATGTTTTCTGAATCCCACTGTCAAGTTTTCTTAATATATTGATTGTATAATTTCTTGCATCATGATTGTTTCCAAGTCAGTTTCTGTTATCCTAAGGCTACTCACAGTCTGGAGAGATTCATGGAGAGACTTTTTTGTTGTTGTTTGAAAAAATCAGGAGCCTTCAACAAGAACTCTGAGAAATGCTATCCTTGTACACATTTTATAATTCTATTCAATCATTTTTTAACAATTACTGAGAATCTAGTCAAGGAACCACTTTAAAAACAATTCACCTTGGGGCAAGTACATCAGCAGCCTGATGGTGCCTTCAAGCTTCTTGATACCCCCAAATTGCCACTGTGCCTCCAGCTGGACGTCAATAACTTGGGACTAAGTTTCCCAAGAAATTAAATGGCCAAAAGTTAGGTAGGTGGGAGTTATGCCCACAAACCACGTCCAGCTCTGCTAGACAAGCTCATATCTCGAAAGAGATCAAAACCATTTAAGTGCATTAATGGCCATGATTCAGAGATTCGGAAATGAACCTCGGAGGAGAGCAGCACACTGCAGAGATGTCTCCCCACCCTGCTCCAGGCTAATTTCACCAAGGCATCTTGGAGGGGCAGGTGTGTACCTCTGCCTGTCCCAAATGAACCCTGGCAGCCACAAACCTCTAGAACCCAATCACAGTCATGTTCATAGTCGACTTTCACAGGCTCATTCCAAGTCCCCCCCACCCCCCCACCCCGCCCTCGCATGAGAATGAATCCACTGAAAAACCTAGGTATGCGGGACCAGTGACTGAAAACTCCAGGCTTCACAGAGTCAGTGATCCACAACCTCCCTCTCCCGCCCCCCCACCCCCCTGCAACGCCCCACTCTTCTGGTTCCCTGGCAGTCATGCTCAAGAACTGTCACTGGTGCAAATTAAGCTCATTAACTGCCATGATTCAGAGACTAACAAATGAATCTTGGAAGAGAGCAATACACCACAGATATGCCTCTGGACCCCAAATATTTAAAAGTTTTAGAATTTCAGGAGTGTGTGGCCACTTTTGCGCTGTTCATGGTAAGCAATACAAAATGAATTATTTAGCATCTGCCTAAGGGCCAGGCTGGTGTGGTGGGAATGTTCAAAGTAATGGTGGTGGGAGGGTGCAATGGTGGTGGGATTGGTGTTGAAATATTGAATGTAAACAATTATTGTGAACAACTTTATGAAAAAAATTTAAAAATTTAAAAAAGTGATGCGAAGTTCATGCTTGCTTCTATCAACTTAATCAGTGGCTGAATAAATAACCATTTTGCTGCATAAAAATAAATAAATAAAACCAATTCACTAAAAGCAAAATAATAGGAAATAGCAAATATACTAATTTTGACTTAAAATAATTCAGATTCAAAGAAAGTAGTAAATTCTTAAGAAACACATATAAATCTACTAAGACCATGATAAATCAAAAATAAGACCATTACTAAATCAAATTTAGTAAGCCAAAACTATTCATTTAAAAATATACTTTTTGAAAGAACAACATATTATAAGATAGGTCCTAATATGCACATATATTCCTATAAAATTCTACTTCTGCAATCAAGTTAAATAATGATAGTGTCTTCACTGTTTTGCCTCTAGAAGTTTTCTGTTATAATAGATTCCTTCTTATCATTTAAGGGGCATAGTTGATCCTGTTTTTCTAGTTTTTAATAAGAAACAGGTGGTTAGTATCTAGTGATAGAATCTTGTAGGTTATTTTATTTAGTCTAAATAGTCATCATAAACTCTCTTTGTATTTCTGTCGCCTATTGATAGCTGAGACCAAGATAGGTAAACTGTCACATTTTACAAATATTTTCAACAATAACTATTCAATCAAAATTAATTTCTATTACAAGCCCTTTTAATCAGAAATGTAATGAATCAGAATGCTTTTCCCAAAAAATCAACTGAGGTTTTACTGAATCATTTTAAAGAGAATGACCAGTTTGGTCTTTGAGTATCAGGCTTCAAGAGCACCTTTGGGTTAAAGATCCCACTGGGTCTGAACAGTAATATACTGTGTATTCGGCAGGTAAAGATACAAATGGAGCATTACAAATATATCACTTTAGAAACTGAAACCAGAGTGTGTGAATTCAGGTCTCAAAGCTAACTACTTTATTCCAATATATTGCCCCAAACCTAGCATCAGATCCTCAGCAGAGTACAAGCCAGGCTGAATCAAAGCTTTGAGGTGACCCAAACTTGCAAGGCTTATGACTAAAAATAGTAACCTATTCTGGAGATGACAGTAATGGAAATAATTGTCAGGAATACTTTACTTTCAATGCTTGATTATGATTGATCACTGTGATGTAAAATATCATGGAGAGAAGGAATGTTGATCACTCAGCATAAATGTCCTAGTATAATGAAAGTCATAGATGAGAAGAAAATTCTGGTTTTAAAATTTTTTTCATTTGGGAAATATATTTGAAGTGCATGGATAACTTCTAATGAAGACTCTAATTGTCAGGAGTGGCCCAATTTAAAAAAATAGTTTACCATAAATCTTTTTTGCTTCTGTCACAACATGCTTTTTTTCTTTTCCTCTTAAGATGTTAATTTATCATGCAAATATTTTTTTCACTATGTGCATTAATGCTTTTGTTTGTACAGGATTTTTCAAATCAGAAGGACTCCCCATAGTTCCTAAAAGTAAATTCCTAGCAAATGACATGCCAAGATGATAGCTCCATTTCACATAGGAAAAGACAAATTCAGCCATTGGGATTTCAACCAGGGTTCCAGCCTTTGGGTTTGTAGTGTCTCTGATAAGTCTTCCTTATGATAACTTCTGACGGACTATAATGGAACATTGTGTAGAAGAAACTGGCTTCTAGCAGTTGAAAATGATGCTGGGAATAAATCTGTTTTCCCTGAATAATGGTTTCTCAAAGTAGTCACGGCTTCTTTAGAAGTTTAGAATTGGTACCATTTCTTATCCTTATATTTCAGCATTAGCTGCAAAGAAAAAAAATAATCACAAGATGTTAATTATTTAGTAGTGCTTATCAAAAAAATCTCATATTGTGCTAATCATGCATGTCTAAATAAATCTTAAAACGTATAATTTCCTTTATTTTGTGAAAAAAGAGCATGTGATAAAATATTTTTTTAACTAAGCTGTATAAAATCAGCTTAACAAAATTATTTTTAATGATGGAGATAAAAGTGAGGGTGTGCAGGAATGGCTGAGATTAGTACCAGGAATTTTGCTCCATGACTTGAAGGCCAGCCACACGTGCTACGTAAAAGGGAAGCTTAGATAGAGAAGAGAGCACCAAATAAAGGGTGTTGTGAGGACCCTCTCAGGGTGGGAGAAGCATGCTAAAAGTAGTCTATGGACCAAGCATGATTGCCACTCAATGCCTCTCTTGCAAAACACAGTACCCAAAAGAAGAGAGAGAGAACAAGGGGGTATGCCCTGCCACAGAGGCAGGGTGGGACGGGGGGGTTGGGGGCTGGGGGGATGCTGGGACCCGTGGTGGTGGAGGATGGGCACTGGTGGAGGGATGGGTACCTGATCATTGTATAACTGAAACCCAAGCACAAAAATTTATAAGTCTATAACTGTACCTCATGGTGTTTCACTAATAAAAAAATTAAAAAAAAATAAAATGAGAAATAAAGGGCAATAAAAAAAGAAAAAAAAAGTGAGGGTGTGGATACCAGCCTCTAATGTCCATCACATCATGGAGACTAACATAACCTACACAAGTGTCTTTTTAGCAGCTGATACATAATACAGACTCACTGTATAAGATAAACAGTGAGGGAATTAGAATACTTTTAATCAGACCACGTTTTCTTGGCTCTTATTATATATATAGGGTCATCTCTGTTTAAGCTTTCTTATGAAGGGCTAAATATTTAAAGTCATTGGGCTGGAGCAATAGTACAGCAGGTAGGGCACTTGCCTTGCATGCAACCTACTGGGGTTTGATCCCTGGCACCAGATATGGTCCCCTTAGCCCACCAGGAGTGATCCATGAGTGCAGAGCAAGGCGCAAGCCCTGAGCACCGTTGGGTATGGCTCAACCCTCCCCCATTTCTTCCACCAAATATATACATATGAAAACATCTATATTTATTAACTTAGGCACTTACCTCATGTGCATGTTTGGAAAATGCCTCTGCGCTGGTCATCATTCCTGCAGTTTTCTCTTCCAACTCTCCTAGCCTCTGTCCTCTCTCGTCAAGCGCAATCCGTGCACGGGTCAGCTCTCCCATTACCCCTCCAGCCGCGCCCTTCACCCCTTCTATCCCACCAGGTCCGGGAATGTGCTGTGCAAGGCTGCGTGATGCTTTTCCTGCTGTAGCTTCCCCAACTGATAGAACAATGCAGATAGAGCAATGTTGAATATTTTGTTAGAAATTCAAATAACTATGCTCAGTTCTCCATAAAAACAAAGCACTTAATTTCTATGAACACAATTCTCACTAAAAGAAAGGCATATTAGACCTTCTGGAGATAAATATTTGATATCGATTCAAGACATATGCTAAGAAAATGACTGAGATATTTTTCCCATAAGCCTGCGTATATGTGGTGTTCTGTAGAATGTAGAATATCTGCATATACTGATTTTGAATTGGGTGTTCATAGTATATGTGACACAATATGTAACCCATATTAGTGTCTGCTGCAATCTCAGATATGGTCATTTCTTTACAGTTCTAACCAAGTCTTCATTTCAACCTTTTCTATGCATTTGGCTTTTGTAGGTTTAAGTTGTTCTTAAATCTGTGTGTGTGTGTAAATTGTAAGAGAATTGAATAATGTACGATGGACATTAATATACACATGTTGAAATTTTGTTACTTTATAAAAGAAATTCTATAAAACATTTAAATATTAAATATTGCACATATATAATTCCCTTTCATTTATAAAGCCCAATCTCAATTATAATGAAGTAAAAATTTATCTTTTCCCTTGATGTATCTTTGCTTGCCTGTTTCCACTCTAGAAAAACGTGTGTTCTCTCTAAATTATGTACTTTTTCTCTCTTCTCTTACATCTAAATAAGTTTCAATAAAACCTACTTTGCTTCACACAGAAATATTGTTCTTGAAAAGTTTTCTTAGAAATTTAGTGAAATTTCTAAGAAAAAATTCCTAAGATATAGTTTTAGGAATGAATTCTACCTAAAAAACATATTGACCTGCAATTCAAATGCCATAAAAAAAAGTTTATAAAGTATTCAGGTGGTTTTTAGTGTACTCACAAAGTTGTGGATTTGTTATCATTATCTGTTTTCTGTTTAACCCCCACAAAAATCTCATACCCAGTTGTAGCCACTCCCCATTCCATTTTTGTCCCGATCCCTGGAAACTACTAATCTACTTTGTCTCTGTGTTTGTATATTTGTAACATATCAATGAAATGGAATCAGACTATATGAAGGTTTTTGGTCTTTAAATTACAGTGATGTTTCCAAGGTTCATCAATGTGTAACATGTACAAAGGTTTGTTTGTTTGTTTTTAATGGTCAAACATTTACATTACATGGAGGCACCAAAATTTTCTGCACAATTAAATATTCAAGAGAGGAGCCATGGAGATAGTTTAAGGGTTAGAGAAACAAGATTTGTATGTGAAAGGACCGGGATTGATTCAAGCACCTCTGATTTTCATCTGTAAGACCAAATAAAGGTGAAAAATTCTGGAAAATATATCTCTGCTTTTGAAAAATATCGTTAGTTTCTTTCTACTGATTTATTATTATTATTCATTGCAGTCTCAGATAATTTACCTTAAAAATTTGTTCTTGGTGACTACACCCAGCAGTATTTGAGACCCACAGGGCCATGCTCAACCAAGCTCAAGGGGCCATGCAGAACTGGGGTTTGAGCTCAGGATCTGCACCAGCAAAGGTATGTGTTCTACTACTCAAGCTACATTCCCAGCCCCACAGGTAGGCTTCTTTTTTTTTTAATGTAGGAGTATTGCTATTTATTCAGCCATTGATTAGACTGAATTGGTTGTGAACTCCACCTTACTTTTTTTTCCTTTTTTATAAATTTATTTATTGAATCACCATGAGAGCAGTTACAAAGTTTTCGGGTTTAAGTCTCGGTCATACAATGATAAAACACCTGTCCCTTCACCAGTGCCCATTCTCCACCCCCAAAAACCTCAGTATACCATCCCATACCATCCCATATCCTCCCACTACCTGTGGGGCAGATAATTTCCACATTACTCTCTCTCTACTTTGATTATGTTCAATATTTCAACACCAGACACTCCAGACCTACCATTATTGATTTGGGATTTTACCCCAACACTCAGATCTGCCAAAAAGGCAACCACAGACAATTTTTTTTCTATTGCTGGTTATGAATAACATATGATGTTGCGTGGCCGCAGTAGTGGCCACGTGATTTTGGAATTCCGAAATTTTAACAATTAAATCTGGAGGAATTTCTGCCAAACCTGCTGGGTTCCAAGATTTGTTCCTGAGTCTCTGGGATCATGGCCATTAAGCAGCTTGATCAACAGCCAGAGAGGCCATTTGTGGGTGGCAACTCGGGGTCTCTTTAGGGCAGGGAAGAAAGGGCTGGCTCCTTCACCTCGAAACCATGAGGCCCTGCGTGTCTCATCACTGCGGGTGTCCAATGGCCTCTGTAGGATGGTGGCCACCAAGCTGCCAGGGGAAACAGGCCAAGGCATGAAACCTATTCCCACTTGGGGTGGCCCAGTATTGGTAACCTACTGCTGGGACCAGATGCATTTCTGCCAAAAGCCACTAGGTTCCAAGATTTGTTTCTGAGTCTCTTGGATCATGGCCTTAAGTCGCTGTTCAGGGACAGCGACTCTGGGTCTCACTGGGGCAAGGAGGGAAGGGTTGGCTCCACCCCCATCCTGTGAGGCCCCACGTGTCTCGTCACTGCCGGCCTAAACGCACAGGTAGGCTTCTTAAGTAGTGTATTATGTAGCATTGATAAGTCTTACATTCTGATAAAGAACATTTTCCAGCACTGGTTAAAGAAAGGTAAAGGTAAAGGTAAAGGCCCTCCCGTTGATCGTCGATTTGCTCGAGCGGGCCCAGTAACGTCTCCATTGGAGACTTTGTTGTTACTGTGTCTGGCATGTCGAATACTCTCGGTAGCTTGCCGGGCTCTCCGAGAGGGGCGGAGGAATCGAACTCGGGTCGGCCATGTTGGCCGCGTGTAAGGCGAACGCCTACCCGCTTTTTTTTACTTTAAAAACTAAATGTATTCACAATTTTTTGTTTGGTCTTACCTGCCTGCAAATGACACATTAATTGACTTACTTATTGGTATAAATTACATGTGCAGTTTTTGTCAATTTTTTTAAATATGAAGTGACAGCATTTATTCATGTTTGGCTTTTCATAGAATAGAAACAAACTCGTTTAAGATTTGCGATCACTGCTTCATTTTTATAAAGAGAATGAGGGGGAAAGGTTTTGTGATATAATTTCATAACCAGAAGCTTACTCACAGAGCTCTTCTCTGTCAAATGTTTGTCCACTTCCACCAAACAATCCCTTGAGAAATCCTCTATTTTGAGCTTCTGGTGTCTCTATGGGAATAAACAAATCCCCTAGCATCTCCTGTACAAAATTCAAAAGAAGGCGCATTAGAGTAACTGAAAACAAATGAGCAGATAAAGAGATAACACAGTGATGTGTTAGAACAGTGTTTTTCAATCTGTCCTGACCTTGGCTCCCTTCTGACCTTTCTGTGTTTTCCTTGTCCTACTTAGTTGTCATGGCCCGCATTTAGGTCCATTTCCCCCCGGGGTTCCTTTAGTTATCCTGGAGCTGGGGTCAGGAGGTGGGAGGGAAACACATATAGCTGCAGCTGAGAAATGCTGTTAGAGTGCTCTATGAAAAAACCCTTGTTCTGGTGATTTTTGCTTTGTCCCAGTTTTATCTCTGACATTTCTTTTCCATTTTTTCCCTCCCTTTTATAAATGACATTCTATTTTTCCCCTTCATTTTTCAGCCTTCTCTTCTCCCCTCTAAATTCAGGAAGAATATGGAATTAATAATTTACTCTTATGCTAACTTTCACCTTCTCGGTTGCTATCACTCTAGATTTGTGATCCTTTCATAAGCCACCAGGATGTCTTTCCTGCCCTAGTTTTCTTTCCTGAACCTTACATGAACTCCCCAGTGAGTTAGAAAGCCTCTGGAGGTGGTATCAAGCATGGTTGTATCTGTTTCTATATCAATTACAAAATTATAAAATGGTTCAGGGTGATTTTAATCAATCAAAATAGGTAACTACTGCATAATTGGGTATGGTGGTTCTTGGTACTTGATATGCTTCAGAATCACTAGAGAAATAGCTTGTTGGAAGTTACAGATGCTGAGAGTTTTGTTCCACCTACACTACAAAATAATTTACATGCAAATGCGCTGGATATATTTTTAGCATACTTTCCAGGTTTTTCTACAGCAGACCAAAATTTTACACACATACATATTTAACCAATAATATCGAGGTATGTGACCTCAGTTTGTCCTGACCTTGCAGCATGAGTTTGTCTTCATTCTCCTCCTCATCTCCTTTCCTAGACCTAGAATCCCTTATGTTTGGTGATGAATGGCAGGACCACACGTTTAGTTCTTCAGATCAGAAATCTGGGGATGATTCATTTCTTTCTTTATGCCACTCTTACACCTATTAACCCTCTAATACACTTTAAACTACAGAATTTCTGAGCTTTTCTCCATTTTCAATTCTGACTACCCTGTTTCAAACTACTGTTATTTTGAGTTTTAAGTATTAAAATGCTCGTTTTCCCTACCTTCATTTTAATTCACTAGAACCATCTCTCATGCTACAACCACAGTGGCCATTTTAGTAAACACATTTGCTAAGCCTTTTCAATGATTTCCAGTTCTTTCAATAAATGCCAGTTTCCTTGAGGAGCTTACAGAGTCCTCCAGGGCCTGTTCTTGACTAATATCCAATCCTCAGCTCTGCACCTCCTTGGCAATCTCCTGGACTCCTGGTTCACACACCACGGGTTCTATTAAGAATATAATTATATTCTCCATCTCCACACCCTTTTACCTGGACACTACTACTCTTAACAACCTTTCCAGACTTTCTACTCCCTTCTGTTCTATCAAACCAGACACCCCTTTTTATATGTCTCCCTAGCATTGGCATAACCATATGTAGTGAGCATTTTCCCACAGAGTATTGTGGTTGTCTCTTTTTTTCTCCTTCCATACCAGCAAGTTTACACTTACATTTTTTATTTTATTCCAAGTACCAGGCATATGAAACTCAATATGCATTTGGGTAATAATATTTATTTATTTTTAAAATTTACTGTGTACCAGTCACTGCTCAGAACTGTTTAGTAATTCTTAATTCTCACAACAGTGCATTAGAGTATATAGGTTGTATAAGAGTGTATAGGTTAAGTAAAATATCCAAATTCATATAAGTGGACAAAATAAAAGTTAAAAATTTCAGAGCTCTCACTAAAATGCTCTTTTACAATTTTGTGACTATTTTTGTTTATCCAAGATTTTGTATATTTTATACCTTTTCTATTTATAGGCTCTATGCTATGATCAAAGACAATCATTCAGTTCTAATCCATAAGATATATACTTTTTTATGACTCTTAAAAATTTCTTTACAAAAGTTCTGGCCCAACACTATTTTAGCTTTTAGATATCTCTCATTCTCTCTCTTTATACAACCATACCCAAAGTTTACTCATAAATGTACCTGACCTACCTGTAGATTGTCACACATCTCTTGACTGTATGTTAACCGTTGAATTTCAGTAGGAGAGACCAGGTACAGTGCCTGTCCTTCATTAGTAAAACAGAATGTCCGTGCTATCCTCATGTCTGTTAGTGGCAAATAATTCACATCCAACATTGGGCGAAGACTAGGGAGGCTGAATGTAAAACAAAAGCAAATCCAGATTTCATATTTTAGTTATTAGAAGCTTTTAACTTCTCTGTATAAAATTTGAATATTTTCACACAAAAGAAGTAATTTTAATACCAATGTTTTATAGTTATGTCTTTTTTTATCCTTGAAATCTCAATTTAGGTTTTCACATAAAGTCATATAAAAACCAATCATGGATATGGTTTTTTTTTTTGTTTTGTTTTAAGCTCACACCTGATGAGGCTTGGGGCTACTTCCAAAAGTTACTGCTAGTGGTTCTCAGGACCATGTATTGCCTATGATCAAATGGCTTCTACATGCAAACATATGTGCTCCAGCCTATTGTGCTATATATATATAACCCTAATTCTCCAAATTTAACCCACATAATTATTTGGAAGTTTTCCTTGAAAGATGCATACAATAAAGTCAGAAATCTCGAGAAAATGTTTGCAGCTTCTTATAGGTTTCTACAATATATAAAGCCTTTGGTTATGGTTAATTAACACCACAGTTAAAGAGTGGCATAACAGAATTTTCTCATTATTGTCATATTGTTATCTCTGGAGAATAACAAAAGTCAAGAAACTAAAATGGAAAATGTATAATTACCTTAGGAAGGAGTAGGAAAAGAGAGCGTCAACTGACAAGGAGAACAAATGCTATTAAAGCTGAAAAATTAAAAAAAAAAACTTTTCTCTGCAGGGACACTTATGAGGCAGTTAGTAGAGTCAGGTAACTAAGACAGTTTTCACCAAAAGCGATTTTTTACAACCTCATTTTAGTATTCATACACAAGCTTCTTGTATCCTCTCACCTTTAGGGCTGGCACCTAAGTAATCATCAGCTATCTGCCATCTATCAGAAAATAAGGACATGAAGAGATTGAGCATAGGAATAATTAAGTTCTGATAAAGTCTAAAAGATCTGGGAATGTATTCAGCATGGGAGGATGATCTAGTGTATTAAACTGTAGGATTCACTTCTGCAAGCCTTGTATCACTTCCTAGCCATAAATTATATATTACTAAAATTACATCAAAATCATTTCCTCCAGACCTCATGAATTTCTTTTAAGGCTTAAAAAGCAAAGGAACAATTATCATGTAAATAAGACTTCATAAAGAGCAGAGGCAGATACCTTCTTTTTCCTGTTGCTGTGACTCATTGCTTTTTAAACTCCTATTTGTCTTTCACTTTTCAAGAAATCTTTCAAAAACATAAATGGATTACATATTTATTTAAATAAAATTAATTTTCAGATATTCTCAATGGCAGTTGAGAAAAGACAGAATTTTGGAAAAAATAAAGTGATTACTGTCAAGCTACATTCCAATTGTGACATAATTAAAAATCTTAAATTATTTGAATGACTAAATTTGGGCTTGGAGAAGAGATGATATCTGTACAAATATGAGTATAAATATCTCCCCTCAAAACTAAGGCATGTCTAGGAGCTAAGTCATCAATTTCAAATGAGACCAGAATGACTATCATAAATCTCTATAAAAATAGTGTGAGGAAGAAAAACCAGAAAAAAAATAAATTAAAAATATACACAGGGTGGGATGGGGGGATGGGGTGTGGGAGGGATACTGGGATCCGTGGTGATGGGAATTGGGCACTGGTAGAGGGATGGTATTTGATCATTGTATAATTGAAACCCAAGCACAAAAATGTGTAAGTCTGCAACTGTACCTCATGATGTCTCACTATCAAAAATTTTTTAATAAAAAAAATAAACAGTAACTATAAGACAACTCAAGTCAAATAAAAAAATTCTGTAAAAAATAAATAAATAATAATAATAATAATAAAAATATATACAACCTAATCATGAACAGCTTTGTAACTATGTATCTCATGGTGATTCAATTTAAAAAATTAAATATATACAAAAGAATAAGAAAACATAAATTTGAAAATTTTCTTCTTCACTGGCCACTTCTTGGTTTACAAATCACTTATTTTTCCTACAAATTACAACAACAAAATATCCTCAGAAAACTAGTTTTGAGATGAACTACCTAAAATCTCATCTCTCTCTCTTTTTTTTGAAAGATCACACAATTTCCTCAAAGAATAACTATAGTCGTGACTACAAGTTTTCCCCCCTCTCTTTCTCCTCTCTTCACCTCCTCCCGTACCCCCTCTCCCCCACCCATCCCCTCCCATTTCATAGGTCATGTTGTCTCCGTTTAAACCACTCTGCCATCATGCTATAGCAGCTCTAGGCAATATATGAGTGTGGCTGTATTCCAAAAATCCTGATGAACATTAATTTAAACTTCATATAATTTACACACATCATGAGATATTCTCTTTAATTGTTTCAACAGCTTAAAAATATGAAAAATGTTAGCTTGTTGGCTATAATACCATTTGGTCAGAGTGCAGGAGTGGACTCTTGTAGTTTGTCAAACCCTAGTCTTTATCACTTCCTCTCTCTTGCACCCTTGGAGATATTCCTTTGTCTCCACCATCCTCCTAAAGTGCTACCTACCATTTTCCTAGATTTTGCTTTCTCAAAGAACTAAAATCGTACTCATCGTCTAGTGTTTTTTCCCTGGACTCAAATTCTTCCCTTTCTGCTCTATCTTGAATTCAACTCTTACATTTTTATTCCTTGAAGATACGCTATTTTTATTTTTCCTACATTTTTGATAATTTCTTAATCTCCTTTGCTAGATTTCTTTTTTTTCTTCCACTTCACATGTATCACTTGTCTTCCCGCTGTTCATAGATTTGCTAAAGCGGGCACCAATAACATCTCCATTTGTCCCTGTCGTGTGCTAGCATAGCCCAAGGGCGTATTGGGGGCTCTGTCAAGGTCAGGGGAATGAGGCCCATTATTGTTACTGTTTTTGGCATATTGAATATGTCATGGGTAGCTTGCCAGGCTCTGCCATGTGGGCGAGATACTCTATGTAGTTTGCCAGGCTCTCCTAGAGAAGAAACTGTATTAGAGGTGGGAAAACTTGCAGAAGAGCCCACATTTATAATTGGAAAGGCCTTCAGGCCAGAAATTCAGGTATCCCTAACTAAAGTTAATGCTCTCTCCATTTCCAGACCTTTACAGCATTCTAGTCATTACTGAAGTATAAAATTATCTTCAGGTTTTGATCTTAGAACAAATCTATTTCCTTTATACTGTATACCTCTCTTTTATACTGTCATTGATGAATTTTATCCACTGCCATAATTTGCAATATTACATTTACAGAAATGACTTGCAAAGCTCGATCTTTAACCCATACTTTTTCAGACATTGTTAAACTTAGATAAGCTGGCTTTTGCTTGGTGCCACACATTCCGATCACTCATTCTTGAAGTTCTTTCTAGCCTTTTGAAACACTCCCTATTTATCTGTCTGTTAATTATGTAACTCTTACACAACTATACAATTCAACTTTTAATTCTACTCTAAACTTGATAGCAATGACTTCCATTAATCAGTCAGTTTTATGCTCAAATTTTCTTTTATTATCTTTCACCTCTGTTTCTACCTTTTTTTCTACCATGCTAGTTCAAAAACCAATCATGCACTCTCCTTCATGTCTGTCTTAATACATGAATAGGAAAAGTTAATTACTTCTGTTAAAAATCCAATTTTATATGAGCTGATTATTAAACACATTAGTCTAACATTAAAGTTTCTTAACAATTTGTCCTAATCTACCTTTTAGTTTCCTTTTCCCCAACAACTCCTTTTATAAAAACATATATATTTAACTATTTCATGAACAGTTAAATATTTTGAACTCTGAGGACTTTGATGAGCTGGTTCAAGTCTTTCTTTCCTCTGTTGGAATAAAAATATTCTTTGTATTTTTATTGCTTGTGTATCTGTCTTATCTCTCCAACCTGAAATTTTCTTAAGGATTAGTAGGTTGTGTTTTTATTAATTTTTATGGTTTTTACTGCCCTAGAATAATGCATAAACCTTGATGATTGATACTGACTTGTACATATTATGTGTTTAAGTGGTGAAATTATAAACCATTAGGTGTTTCTTAAGTTTTATTTCAGCAGTATAATTAAATCTCTAAGCTGATACCTAAGACAGTCAAAAGGTACAAATTTAGAGTTGGAAGATAAGTCATGGGGGGTATAATGTATAGCATAATGGCTAGAATTATCAATACTTGTCAATAATACTTTAAATGTATATTTGTAAGTTACTTGGAGAGTAAATATTCACAATAGTCACCACATACAAGAATGGCAACTGTGATGTGACAATATGTCAACCTTTTGTAGTAATTACTTCATTATATACCCATATATCATACTATCATGTTGTGTTCCTTAAATTTGCATAATCTATATGTTTATAACTCAAACAGTATAGGAAAAAACTGTTTGATGACTAAGTATACTGGTCAATGCTAGTTTCATTTTTTTTTCTAAACTTGTAACTTGAGGAAATCTTAAATGTCTATGTGTTAACATATGTAAATGTATTTACCTGGATTTAATAATCCTCATATTCTCAGTGATAGTATAGCACCTGGGATATCATGTGCTTTAGCGCTCTTTGCTGAATATATGAGTAACTGACAAATCACTTTTTTTATATTTCTTGACACCAATTAAAATTTAATTTACATGGAAAACTTGCAAAAGATAATTTATGCTTTGTATTCAAACATAAACTCTCCTCATACAATAAAACAATGATTTTATGTTACTTAGTGATAATCTCTTTCATATTAACATATACTTTTCAAAATTATATCTTGCTGGCACTGTCATGATTGCCTGATAATTTATAAAGAAGGCAAGTACCTCATTATCATGATATGCCCATTGGCACAAAAGCATGCCAAACAGGCACTGTTGCACATGACCACCACATCTGCTTGTAGTATAAAAGATGTCTCAGTGATATTGTGAACATAAAGGCAAGTCTGAGAAGGCAGTGAGAAGACTTTGGCTTGTTTTTCTGAGCATATTATTGTATACTGATGATCTCCAGTTTCTTGTGATGGCGAGGGGAAGTTCATAACCAGTTTCCTTTTCCAAGATTTTTCATTTTCGTCGGTACTGTTTGGATCCTTCCAAACTTCATATGGTGGCTGCATTAATCCGCCAGTTCGGTCCATACAGGAGAAAGTTAACACAGCTCCTTTCAAGGAGAGGAATGTACCTGTAAAAACAATTTTATGTTACTGGCATGTGAGATTATTTCTAAAACGGTTATTATTCATCCATGGGCAATAAATGACTTATAATTTAATAGCACAGCGGGTAGGGCGTTCGCCTTACACGCGGCCAACATGGCCGACCCGAGTTCGATTCCTCCGCCCCTCTCGGAGAGCCCGGCAAGCTACCGAGAGTATTCGATATGCCAGACACAGTAACAACAAAGTCTCCAATGGAGACGTTACTGGGCCCGCTCGAGCAAATCGACGATCAACGGGAGGGCCTATTACAGTAATGTATGTCAACAGATTTGAGTTCACCCATTTCAATAATCGAGAATTATAGGATGTTACATCTGAAGGAACTTGAGATGCCAACTTGCAAAATTTTCTCATTACAGGAAAATGGAAACCCAGAAAGGTTGTGAGACTTGGGCCAGGTTACATAGCAACTTAGTGGCTGAGTCTGGAATAGTATTTAGGTTTTCTGGTTTTTAATCCTATATTGGAGGGGTAAGGGTGGGTTGGCCACACCTGATAGTGCTTTGAGGCTACTCCTGACTCTGTGCTCTGGGGTTGTTCCTGGTAGTGCTTCTTGGGGAACCATGTGGTATCAGGGATGGAGTCCAGGCCTCACACATGCAAAACATGCATGTGTTTAGTCCATTGAGCTACCTCTATGGTCTTATAAGCAGTATTTTTTTTTTTTTTGCTTTTTGGGTCACACCCGGCAATGCACAGGGGTTACTCCTGGCTCTGCGCTCAGGAATTACCCCTGGCAGTGCTCAGGGGACCATATGGGATGCTGGGAATCGAACCTGGGTTGGCCGCATGCAAGGCAAATGCCCTACCCCTGTGCTATTATTGCTCCAGCCCCTAAGCAGTATTATTTTAAAATACTATCCTGAAATTTTTGTTTTTGAAATAAAATATTTATTTATTGTTACATTTTCAAAGGAAAGAGCATTGATACTATATAATTTCATATATCCGTTCACTAAAATAATTTCCTCTTTTTTGGAAGCAAATTAGTTTTAACTGATTGAAATTTAGAAAGATCTGAGGAGGTGCAAAGGAGAGTGAGGCATGTTCAAGAGAGAACATGGGCTAGGAAGAAAAAGCAGAGTTGAGAGAGAGATACGTGTTTAATAAAATAATTTTTGTCTAAAGTTGAGCACTTCAGAATAAATATTATAAAAGTTCAACAACTAGAGCTCACAACACTACTACATGATTTACTAATGTACAAATTATTTTTAAAAATCTCTTTGGGGCCAGAAAGCTCAATGGGCTTTGCTGGAAAAAAAGGTTTGCTCCCTCCTACTGCAGGATCTCTAGAGCACCACTGCAAGCACCTCTGGGTACGGCCCCTAAGCAAAACACAAAACAAACAAACTCCTTGGCTCTTTGGCTGACATATTCATCTTTATAGAGAAGAGTAGCTTATTCACCTAGATTCTCAAAGGTTGACTATCCACAACAGATTGTCACCTACAGTGATTTTTGACCAGTCCTAGGGGACTCTTAATCTTAAATAACTTGGAATGAACTGCTTCTGCACATTTCCAGAACCTCCCCTAAGTAGTGTCCCGGCAGCCTTTTCTTTCTTTTGTACTATGACATCATGCTCAGAGAGTCAGGGGGTTGACTTAGGTTGATAGAACTCAGGAGCATGCTTGTAACAGAGACTTGCATAAAGAAGGATGATAAAAATACATTCCATTTAGAAAGTACTTTGTAATTTAATCTATTTAAATTTATCAAATTCAAAATAACCCACTTAGTTCATTTAACACCTCAGCTGTGTGAAATCTACTTTAAAACTGAGAAGTTTGTTGGGGTGGAATGATAGGACAGTGAATAAGACTTTGCACATGACTGACAGAGGTAGATCTCCAGTCCCTGGTCATACTCATATGGTCTCATGAGTATGACCAGGGGTCAGTCCTGAGCACAACCAGGAATAGCTCCTGAACACCACAATGGGTGACCCCAAGCCCTCCAAAAGAACAGAAGCAAAAAATTGAATGTGTATGCCAAAATTTTGAAAATAAAGACAGTATAAATATAAGTAATACAAATATAAACATATGACCTCTCTTGGATTATAAAGGGTGTTAAAGTCATAAAACTGTTTAATTTCATCTGGAACTTAACTATAAATAAAAAAAGAAGAAAGAATTCAGTCTTTGGTCATTTTAATATTTTTTCTTTTAATGAGGTAACAAATGCTAATATAGAACTACTGCTATAAATAAAATTTAGAAATAAAATAGTAAATTATATAACAGAAACAGGAAAATTATTTAGTGACTTTCTTGAGTATATGAAGGGTTGGGAATATATCCCAAGATATATTGATCAAATTGGAAGCTAACAGAATTTAGTCAAAATAACAGAAGGGAGTATGAAGGCTTTGGAGACATAGGTAGGTATGTTGAAAAACACTCATGATAGTTGTTGAATTTCTTAAAGATAATTTTTCTATTTTCTCTGTAAAAAGAGGATATAGGATCATTATCTGAGACTGAAAGCAGTAGAGGAGTATGAAAAGATTGATGAGAGTTGAGAAAACTTGCGATTGTTGCTCAAGAGAGTCAGAAAGAGGATTTAAGAAATAAATATAATCCAGCAACATCGGAATCCACTTGAAGTCATTGATCATTTATTTCAAAGTGTCTCTTTTTTAAATTTGCTTTTTGAGTCACACCCGGCAATGCACAGCAGGGGTTAATCCTGGCTCTGCACTCAGGAATTACTCCCAGCAGTGCTCAGGGGACCATATGGGATGCTGGGAATGGAACCCGGGTCGGCCATGTGCAAGGCAAACGCCCTACCCGCTCTGTTATCGTTCCAGCCCCAGTAATTTATTTCAAAATGAGATTATTTAATATGGTTCTAGATTTTTCTCCAACTATATCTAGATATACAGGTATAAGGAGAGATTAAGTAAAATAAAATGTAAAATAAACTCAATGATGATTCGATTGAATACGCATGTGTAATATGATTTATAACATATATTTGGTCCACATTCTTAATTTTTGCTACAGACCTTTTAAAACCCTGGAATAGTTACAAAGGTGTCTTTTGTTCTGTTACTGAAGTAGACTGTGACCTCATCTAAGGGTGGGGCTGATTTCCAGGTGAATAACTTGATTAGATATGAAAACTTTTAGGCCTCAAAACTTTGACCTCCATACTTTGGAGAGGGAAGAGGAGCTGGAGATGAAGTTTAATTGATGCATCATTGGCTACTAATGATTAAACTAATGAAGCCCACATTAAACCCCAAAAAGTAGAGAGCTTTCAGGTTGATGAACGGGTGGGAAGGCTGGGAATGTGGAAGGCTTGAAGGTACATGCAAACTATAGCCTTTTCTTACATGTCTTGCCCGCATGCATCTCTTCATCTATATAGATGCATATGTTCGTCGATCACGATCACGACCATCCTGTTGTTCGTCGATTGCCTCGAGCAGGCCCCAGTAATGTCTCATTCGTCCTAGCCCTGAGATTTTTAAAAAGTGCCATATTAAAGGCTTTTTCTGACTTATGAGAATGAGATCCATCATTGTTACTGGTATTTGGCATATTGGGTACGCCACGGGGAGTTTGCCAGATTCTGCCGTGTGGGCAGGTAACATTCGGTAACCTGCCGGGTTTGTCCAAAGTAAGAATGAGATAAGATGTCGTGTGACCACAAATGCGGCCACATGCTTCCGGGAGCTGGGTTTTATAGTCTCTGGATCTTGGCCGTTGATGGGATTACACGGCGCCAGGGGGCCAGTTGTTGGGTGTGACCCCTGCCTACTGCATATGTCCATTTGTATCAATTTTGAACTGCCCAACTGTAAGTAAATTGTTTTCTGGAGTTTTATTTACTTGTTAGAAAACAAATTAATTGAAACTGATGAAGGGGTCACAGAGATCTCAGATTTGTAACTAATTGGTTAGAAGGACAGGTGACAAAATGTGAAAAGAGAGAAAGAGAGAATGTGTGTGTTGTAGAACTAAACCCTACAGACCCCTCCTGTACTTACAGGAATAGGAAAATTGATGTGCAGCCCCCAAATCTGTCTCTTATCTGTTTTATTTTTGCTATATCAGGTATTATTCTTTTCGTTTTAAAATCTTGAATTTAATCATGAATTTAATCTTGAATTTAGTTATGAGTCATCAAAATCATTTTTTTTACAAAACTTCTCTAGACACTTTATGCAGCAGAACTGGGAATTATAGAAAAGTTTGTAGTTAGCAGTACAAATCATTAAGTATACAGGAAATATAATTTAAAATTAATTTCTAAAGATAGTGGTAGGCAATTTTTGGAGGCTGTGGATATATTTATGACAGATTATACTCATTTAATTGATATGTAATCTCAAGGTTTATCAACTTGTATAAATATGTATGCCAAGCGTACCTCATTAAGGTGTTTTTTAGAAAATAAGTCTCAGCAAACTTTTAGCAAAAGTACTGTAAGAGAGTAAAATTCCATAGGTGTTAGAGGACAGAAAAGAGGAGCGCTTGCTGGTAATTAGAACTTTCATTAATTTTCTCTTTATTTTAATTTCTTATAATTATAAATTATTTTTATTGAGGTGACATTGGTTTATAAGATTGTACATGTTACAAACTGCAGACCAATGGAACAGAGTTGAATACACTGACATCTCCCCTCAATCATATGATCATCTAATCTTTGATAAAGGTGCAAGAAATGTGAAGTGGAGTAAGGAAAGCCTCTTTAACAAATTGTGCTGGCATCACTGGACGGCTACATGCAAAAAAATGGGCTCAGAACTCTGCCTAACACCATGTACAAAGGTAAGATCAAAATGGATTAAAGACCTCAACATCAGACCAGAAACCATAAGGTACATTGAAGACAAAGTTGGCAAAACCCTCCATGACATTGAGGCTAATGGTATTTTCAAAGATGCCACGCCACTGGCTGAGCAAGTGAAAACAGAGATAGATAAATGGGACTATCTTAAACTAAGAAGCTTCTGCACCTCCAAAGAAACAGTGACCAAAATACAAAGACAGTCTACAGAATGGGAAAGAATATTCGCCGAATACACATCTGACAAGGGGTTGATATCAAGGATATACAAAATACTGGTTGAACTCCACAAGAAGAAAACATCCAACCCCATCCAAAAATGGGGCAATGAAATGAACAGAAACTTTCTCAAAGAAGAAATCCGAATGGCAAAAAAGCACATGAGAAAATACTCTACATCATTAATCATCAGGGAGATGCAGATCAAAACCACAATGAGATACTGTCTCACACCTGAGAGACTGGCCCACATTCAAAAGAACAAAAGCAACCATTGTTGGCGTGGATGTGGCGAGAAAGGGACACTCCTTCACTGTTGGTGGGAATGCTGACTGGTTCAGCCCTTTTGGAAAACAGTATGGACGTTCCTCAAAAAATTAGAAATTGAGCTCCCATTTGACCCAGCGATACCACTCCTGGGAATATATCCCAGAGAGGCAAAAATGTGTAGCCGAAGTGACATCTGCACTTGTTTGTTCATTGCAGCACTCTTTACAGTAGCCAGAAACTGGAAGAAACCTGAGTGCCCGAGGACAGATGACTGGTTAAAGAAACTTTGGTACATCTACACAATGAAGTACTATGTAGCTCTTAGAAAAGATGAAGTCATGAAATTTACATACAAGTGGTACAATATGGAAAGTATCATGCTAAGCGAAATGAGTCAGAAAGAGAGGGATAGACATAGAAAGATTGCATTCATCTGGGGGGATATAAAATAACAAAATATGAGATTAATACCCAAGAATAGCTGAGATCAACACCAGGAGGATTACTCCATAGCCTAGAGGCCAGCCGGGTGTTCTAGGGGAAAGGACAGTTCAGATAGAGAAGGGAGCACCAAATGGAGGGTGTTTGGAGGATCCTCCCAGGAGGGGAGATGCAGGTTGAAAGTAGACTGGACTGAACATGTTTGCCACTCAATGCCACTTTTGCTGATCACAACACCCAAAAGGAGAGAGAGAACAAAGGGGAATGCCCTGCCACAGTGGCAGGGGGGGATGGGGGGATGGGGGGGAGGGATATTATCCTGGTGGTGAAAGATGGGCACTGGTGGAGGGATGGGTATTTGATCATGGTATGACCGAAATCCAAGCACAAAAATTTGTAAATCTACAACTGTACCTCATGGTGTTTCACTAATAAAAAATTAAAAAAAAAATAAATAAAAAAATAAAAAAGATTGTACATGTTACATGAACCCATTTCATACATATTCAAAATATGTTACTATACCACACCTACCACCAAAATACTAATATCCTTCTGCCACAGTTATATAATTAAAAAATTAAAATTGTCAGAACCTGCACTTGAAAGAAGGGAATAAAACCATGTTGTACACAATTTTCATTGTTACAAAAAGTTTGGAGATGTTAGAATACTTTTCAAACTCCTTAAGATGGCTCATAATCTCACCCTGACCACTTGTCTGATCTCATTTCACACCATTCCATCAAGTCCCTTTAGTCCCTCTCCTATTATTACTACTCATCCCATTTCTAGGCATTAGACAAAAAGGAACTATGCTGCATGACACACTTTTGAAACAAGATGGAAAACTTTAGAGAGTTACTTGGAGAACGAACTAGATGAACTAATTCCTCAAATGTCATGTAAAAACGTTAATGGACTCTGATCTGGCTGGAGCACTGGAGAAAAAACTTCAATTTATTAAAGATAAAAATTTAACTTCTGCATTACAGTTTCCTTAGTGCTCTTTAGAAACTTTCTTTCAAGGTCTTGTCTTGCTTGTCAGTTCTATAGTTTTCTATTATATACAAAGTCGACCATTTTACCCTGAAGGAAAGATAAGTTTCAATATGACAAATGTTGATATTGAATGAGTGATTTCTGAAGTTCTTAATAGTTATATTACACAGAATATTACAATCTTTGCTCCAGATCAATACAAAGTAATACTTTACATTACTTTATATATAAATTGGAAAAAGTAGAAATTAGGGAATAAATAAAACTCTTACCACTTGGTAATGCCATGACTGGTTCTGTAAATCTTTGTTCATCCGCTGAAGGTAGATTTAAGGAGATGATTAAAACCATTCCCAAACTAGTTCCAACAAACAAACAGGGGGAGATAGTAGAGTCATTTTTACGAGCGAAGGATTCCATGAAGTATAGTGCTGTAATTGCTTCTTTAGAATCTTTGTCAATGCTGGAGATGCTAGAGCTTCTAGAACGATTATAGGAATTTTCACGGCTTTCTGTGGATATTTGAACACAAAAAAATGTTTATGTATTTCCAAGCAATGTCAGAATATATGAAAATCAAAATTTCCAGGGGAAGTTAAATTTGATTATTAACTAATCTAGAAGGCAATTCACTATTTTTGAATGGCAAACCATTTATTTTGAATATAGATGAAATTCAAAAGTGTGGATCACACACTAGGCAAAGTTGTGACCAGAACTTAAGTCTCCAGAGTTCCACTTTATTGATCCCCACCCCCAGTCCCCACAATTACCTCACAAGTTGGCTTAAATTTTCTAGTCTGGGGGAATTTAATTCCAAAGAATCAGTTATAATAATTTATAGTACCATTTTAATTATCATTACTGCTTATCTTTAAGTTATCAGAACAATTCCTAGTAATTTCTTGGCCATCCCCACTTCATGGGAATTCTCACTATTTTCTCTGTGGCTACTTATTCGGATGGTCACACAGATTCTGTGACAAACACATTCCCGTAACACTATTTTGAATTTTTCTATTCTGGAATAATAGAAAGAAGGAAAGAAAGAAAGAAAGAAAGAAAGAAAGAAAGAAAGAATCTAAATACTAAGGGAAAAAGGAAGATATTATCCTTGAACTATTTCCAAGCTGCCTATTATAATTAATTCAAATCCAGTTGTAATTTCATCGGAGGGCACATAAGTCAGGATACCATCCCACTAACCGTAGTTTTTTATTTTCTTTTTGGGGGTGGTGTTCATGGTGGTGATAGTATGTGTGCCAGGGACTGAATCCATGCCTTATATATGAATACTTATGAGCTCTGTCACCGAGCTATACCCCCATATCCTATGGTAGTCTACTTGAAAAAAAAGTAGGACAACTTTGGGTTCTCGTTAAACTGCAGATGTGTGCATTACACAAGTATAAGTCTTAATGTCTCAATTAAGTGCTATTAGGAAAATCATATTCTTATAATCATTCTACAGTATAAATTCCTCATTATCTGAATTACTGTCTTTATTCTTCTTTCCCTCTTGATAGATAAAAGTATGAATCACAGTTCTTTTCTTTTTTAGAAAAATATCTATTTTTATTATGACCTTATAGCCCTTGGGGTTTTGGACAGGTATGTGTTAAAGATGATACATATTGATGCAATGTTCTGGTGATATCAATTACAAACTTTTGAACAGCAGAAAGAAAATATCTAGGAATTGTGCCACTTGGCTCAAGTACCGGCTTGAAGAATTGAGGTAGAAAGCATGGCTTCTTAAAACAGACTATAAATTTAGATGATCCCATTTCAAGGAAACAAAATATACTGTTCCTATTTTTTCCTTTTCCACTCCTTACTTAGCAAGTTTATGAAGCAATTGTCATAAATTTAGAGATGAGAGGGTGCTTTGTTACAATCTATATGTTTTACAGATTTGGAAAAAAGAAATCTAGCATTATATTACATCCTATAATCAGTATAGAACTGTCCAAAACTCCAAACTCCTAACTATAAATCCAAATGACTGTGTATTCTTTCTTTTTTAACTTTTAAATTTTGCTGCTGTAATAACATCCTTAGTTAATGTTTCCCCAAATTTTCCATTTATCATATATCAACACCCAAAGTTATTACTTATAGACATCTGTGAGAGAGATGACATCAGTAACAAGTCTGGGGAACAAATTCAATATGTCATTTATCTAAGAAAACCAAAAAAAAAGTTTTATTGTCAAAAAGTAAAGAATATAATTTTTAATTGTTTGAGATACACCCTGCTGTACTTAGGGAGTTACTCTTGGCTCTGATTTGTTATGGCCTAATTCCTGATGGGCTCAGGGGTCCATATGGGATGCCAGGAATCGAATCCAGGTGGCCGTGAGCAAGGCAAGTGACCTACCCACTGTACTATCTCACCTGCCTGAATAGTATAAATTATTACTACAGACATATGAGAGCTGTTTAATAAAGAACTACTTTATTAAAAAGTACCATAGCAAATATTCCTAAGATTATTTATTTCTATCCCCAAAGTTTTTTATCACTAAAACAGTAACAATAAAGTTACAGTATTTCAACTTTCCTCCAAAAATTTCTGGTCATGTGACTTGTAAAATTTACTACCAGTCCCTACCATCATTCCATAAATAAGCAAAAATTCCCTTTTAAAACATGATTATCACAAATTTTAGAATTCACTAAAGTTTCCTTGAAATGGGATTTTTAATTTTAAATGATATTCACTTGGAAGTTGAAGACATAAGTTTGCTTGGATCTTAATGTGAGACAATAGGGGTTAACCTTTGAGATAGACCAAAACTCCCTTCTTTCTCCTCTCTCCCCTTCCCCATTCAGAAAAGACTATTTAGTGGAAGGGAAAGGGAAGGGAAGGAAGTGCAGGGAAGTTCCCAGACTATGAAGTCTCCTAAAGAGGGATTCCTGAGTTGGAAAGAAACTCTTAATCTGTTCCCAGCAGGTTTTTATAGCTTTCCCTTTGTAGAGAAATCTGAATGGGCAGTCATTCAGATTTAAGAGATAAAGAAGCTCCAGCTCAGAATGGGTTTGGAGTCCTGGTCAAAGCCCCACAGATTCTGGGTATTTCCTATCTGAAGTTGCCTTGCTATCTGCATGCAACAGCCCCTTATGTCTCCCAGCTCTCATTACTATGGCTTGTCATTTTGATAATATTTATAAAAATTAGTACATTTAACTCACCTTCTGTTGTAACTGGTAATGAAATTTCCATGCAAGCAGCCGACTGTGCTTTTCGAAATGGTGGTCTTCCGGGTCCCCAGCGATTTACTTTTGAAACATCAGCACTAGAAAGACGTTTTCCAGAACCACAACTCTGAGTTGGGCTTGTACAATGTCCATTTACATGATCTGTGCCAGAATGAGGAATGCAGTATAAATATTGTAATTGAACATTAATATAAAGGAATCCAAGGTGTAGATTGAAAAGAAAAGAGTATTCCTTTTTATTGTTCTTCCAGAAACCATTTAAAGTACTTGCTATCTTAAGATTTAGTCACAATTTCAGTAGTTAGCTAAAAATCTCCCAAGATTTTTAAATTAAAGATTCATTTTAATTTTATTTTTCTTAAATGTTTTAAATTAATTTTTAAAAATTAAATCACAGTGAAATACACAGTTACAAAGTTGTTAATGATTGGGTTTGGTCATAAAATATTCCAACACCAATCCCTTCACCAGTGTACATTTCCCACCACCAATGTCCCCAATTCTCCTCTTCCCCAACCTCCTGCTTCTATGATAGGCATTTTTCCCTCTCTATTACTCTCTCTCTCTTTCTCTCACTCTCTCTCTTCCCCTCTCTCTCCCTCCCCCTACCTCTACTCATTTTTAAAAACTTTTAGTAATTTGTTCTGTACTCCCATTACTGTAGCACTGTGGCACTATCCTCCCATTGCTCATCGATTTGCTAGAGCGGGCCCAGTAACGTCTCCATTGTGAGACTTGTTGTTACTCTGTTTGGCATACTGAATTCATCATGGGGAGCTCCCATTATGTATCCTATAGTTTAACATGCTTACAGCTACACATAGTACTAGTGGCTCACCCTTGAATGTGGTTAAATTAACAGAAATTCCAGTGCTGGATTCAACATGTTAACAAAAACATGAAATAGTTTATAGTCTTAGACTTTAATTTGCATAATTTAAATACATCTATAAATTTTGGGAGAAATTAAAGTTAAAAATGAAATGTAAAATATATAATTTAAATGTTTGGAATTTAAAATAAAAATGTCATACTGTCTATTTGACAATATTAAAGAATACTGACTGTGGATTATGGACTAATTCACTGCTTGGACTCAAATCCCTGTCCTAAACACTACTTGTATAAATTACTGAAGCCTTGACATTTTAGCTTCTTGTATTTTAAAACATACATATATTTTTATATACATATATAATATCATACCACATGCTCCACCAAAGTATCAATCTTTCCATGACAGTCCTTAGATTCCTTTCACTCTCTCAGCTCCTCCCTGGTTTCCTCAGTTTTGCAGTCTGAGTTCAAGGATTTGTTTTCACTTGGGTTTTTCTATTACAGTGCTTTGGGGTTTTTTTTGTTTGTTTGTTTTGTTTTTGTTTTTTTGCTTCTTTAACACAGCGGGTAGGGCGTCTGCCTTGCACGCAGCCAACATGGCCGACCCGAGTTCGATTCCTCCGCCCCTCTCGGAGAGCCCGGCAAGCTACCGAGAGTATTCCATATGCCAGACACAGTAACAACAAAGTCTCCAATGGAGACGTTACTGGGCCCGCTCGAGCAAATCGATGATCAATGGGAGGAAAAAAAAATTTTTTTTGCTTCTTGGTGCACACCCGGCATTGTACAAGGGTTACTCCTGGCTCATGTACTCAGGAATTACTTCTGGTGACACTCGGGGGACCATACGGGATGCTGGGTATCGAACCCAGGTTGGCTGTGTGCAAGACAAATGCCCTACCCGCTCCCGCTGTGCTATCGCTCCAGCCCCACCAGTGCTTTGTTTTGTGATCTATTAATATGAATAATATATGAAAGAGATGATTTGTTATTTGTCCTTTTCCATCTGACTTATTTCACTTAGCATTGTTCTTTCCAGTTCAATTCATGTTGCTGTAGATGGAAAGACTTTGTCTTTCATAATATATACATATGTATGATATATAAAATATATTTTATTTTTGAGTAATGTTCTGTTGTTATATAAATCCTCTCTTTTTCCACTTATCTGTTGTTGGTGTTTGGGTTGTTTCTATATTCTGGCTATGTAAATAATGCAGTGAACATAGCTGTGCATATATTATTTTGAATTGTTGTTTTTGTGTTTATGATATCTAGATAAAATTGATGGATCCATAGGATCTATTTTTGTTTTTGTTTTGGGTCTCCCAAGCAGTGTTAAAGGGTTCTGGGGGCTACTCCCAATGATACTTAGTCTAGCTGTGTGGGTTTAATGATTTAGTTCTTCATTTTTTCAGATTCCACATATATGTGAATTCATGCACTATGTGTCTTTTAAAATGCTTGTAATTAAAATGAATTAAAAATGAACGCATGTTGTTGCAACAGTAGGGTCTTCAAAGTTCACATATATATTGAATGTATTAGCTATTGTGAATTATGATTCATGAAAATATATAGGAGTGCAGACAGATCTTTGGTTCTGTTTTCATATCCTTTGGATTCTGGATTCATAACCGGAATGAATTATTGGATCATATGGTAGTTACATTTCTAATATTTTTGAAGAATATCCATATTGCTTATCATAGAAACTACACAATTTATAATCACACCAGTGCATAAGGATTCTTCTTTAAAATTCACATCCTCACTAATAGTTGTTACTGTTTACCTTCTTAATAGTAGACATTTTAATAGCTGTGATATGATAGCTCATTTTTTGTTTTCTTTTCCTTGACAATTTGCTTGTTGAGTGTCCTTTCATGTATCTTTTGATTGTTTGTATTATGTTCTACTACAAGTGTGCGGGGGGCAGAGAGTAGGTAAGACAGAGAAGGGACCAGTATGACAATAATAGATGGAATTGATTATGCTGGATAAGAACTGAATTTTTAAAATATGGATATACAAAAATATGGATAAAGGGATATACACAACAACCTTTCAGTATCTGTATTGCAAACTACAATGCCCAAAAGGTGAGAGACAGACAGACAGACAGACAGATAGACAGAGAGAGAAAGAGAGACAGACAGACAGATAGACATAGAGAGAGAAAGACAGAGAGTTCTTCCATTAATGTACATATCCCTCGATCATTATGGAATGGCCATAATGACTTCTAGGCCATTCTGAGGGGATTGTTTTCTTGAAACATTGTCTCCCAGCCTTTAACTTTGAGTTTGTATTTGCCCTTGTTATTCAAGTGTGTTGCTTTTAGGCGGCAGATGGTCGAATTTAATATTTTAATCCATTCTGCCTCTTTGTGTCACTTAATTTAGGTCACTGACATTGAGCGAAATTTTTGTTATAGAGTTTTATGCCATCTTTCTGTAGAAGTTTGGCATATTTGTAAGATTTGTCTTATTTTATTTCTGTTTTTCTTTTCTTTTTTATTGAATCGCTGTGAGCTACATTTACAACTTTCATGTAAACTTTCATGTAAATGTACGTTTCAGTCATACAATGCTGGAACACCCATCCCTCCACCAGTGCACATTTGTCTTATTTTAACGAAGCCCCTGCAGTACTTGCAAAGATGGTTTTGAGTCAGTGAAGTCCCTGAGCTGTTGTTTATCCATGAAGTTTAGTATCCTTCCTTCAAATCTGAATTAGAGTTTGACTGGGTATTCTTGGTGAGGCATTCATTTCATTGAGGGTTTTTTTTTTTTCCTAAACCACATACCACCATTTACTTCAGGCCCACAGGGTTTCACTTGATGAATCTGTTGTAAAACTTAAGGATACTCCTTTGGAAGTAATTTCCTTCATTTATCTTGCAGCTTTCAGTATTTTGTCTCTGTTTATGGCTTTTGTCACTCAGATTAGGATGTGTCTTGGGATCTTTTATTTGAGTTTCTTTTAGCTGGTACCCTTTAGGTACTCTTCAACTATGGAAACTTCTCAGTGATACTTTCTTTGACTAAAGATTCTTTTTTGAAATTGCTTTTCTGGGACTCTGGGACCCTGGTGATTCTAATGTGTCTGCTGTTGATTTATTTTGAGGCTTTTTTTCTATCTTCCCCTGTTTGGAGGTTTTCTGTAATTCATTGTAGAGCACTGATTCTTTCCTTAACTGCTGAGGGCCCCCATTGCACCTACCCCTACCAAATTCTTTAGTTCTGTCATTCCTGAATCTATTTTTCTCCTACTTTCTCGTGTCTTCTGGTTGGTATTTCTTTTATTTTTTATATTTTTTGTCACACCTGGAAACGCTCAGAGCTTACTCCTGCCTCGACACTCAGAAATTACTCCTGGCAGTGGTCGGGGGACCATATGGGATGCCTGGGATGGAACCTGGGTTGGCTGCGTGTAGGGCAAATGCCCTACTCACTGTACCATATCACTCTGGCCCCTTTCCTGTGTTTTCTTGAGTATCTGTACCAGTTTCTTTAGCTCAATGTACATCTTCAAAACATCTTCACCATTTTCTAATTTTTTTCTTTTTGGGTAACACCAGGCGTTGCACAGGGGTTACTCCTGGCTCATGACTCAGGAATTACTCCTGGCGGTGCTCGGGGAATCATATGGGATGCTGAGAATCGAACCCAGGTCAGCCACGTGCAAGGCAAATGCCCTACCCTCTGTGCTATCACTCCAGCCCCTCCCTAAATTTTTTACCCAAGATACTATAAAGGTAGTGCTGGTTGATTCTTCAGGACTACTATCTTCATTTAGTAAGCATGGTGGGTTTCTGCATTGTTTTCCCATTATACCTGTTGTGATCTGAGATGAAGAACTTCCACTTCTCTGTTCTTATCCTTCCACATCTAGGGAGCTCGGGCTGGGAGTGTGGTGGGGTTGGGGGGGGGGAAGAGAGTAGCATGTGGGGTATCATTTGGCTGATATTCTCCTCATTCTCTGATAAAGATCTCCAACAAAATTTATTGTTATTAGGTGTTTAGAGTTTCATCACTGATTCTGGGAAGCAGTGCCATTGACTCTTACTCTGTACTTTGGATTTTTATGATACTACTGCTACCTTTTTAAGATTTTGTAGAAATGATGGTTGAAGATGATGTTTGACAGAATATTAGCATGGTGTGGATGGAAGCAGCCGAACTCTTCCTGTATGAGTTCAGTTAAGAAGGTTCAGGTGTATTCCATGTGCATGTGTAGGAAAGGTTTTTTTTTTGTTGTTGTTGTTTTGGTTTTTTTGCTGCTGCGTTAGTGGCCACAGT